AACCGCACGCCGTCTCGGGTACTAATAGCCGGGGAACCAGGTATACCCTAGAAAGGAAGTCCCTGGTGCCCCGACATACCTCGGGTCATCTACAGACGAGTAGACGACCCCCCCCCCCCCCGTGTGGGAACCCCATGTTCCCTGTGCTCCCTGGAAGCGAGCGCGCTTTGCAACGCGCTCGCCGCCACCCCGGCCTGCTTCTGCTAGGGTAACAGATGGCCTCACCTGTCACCCCCAGGCCTGCGCTTATGGAGGACGGAGGTCGTTCTGCGACCTCCGGCGCCTGAGTCGCCTGCGGTACCTGGCCCGTCCCGGGCCTGGCGGGCCGGGAGAGTCCTAAACCTCTCCCGGTCTCGCTCCGCCGTCTCCTTCGCGAGCATAACTTGCTCGCAGAAGGAGACGGCAGAGTTCCTGTACAATCATGTTTCTCTAAAGTGCAAAAAAATCATTGAATTTTTTAAACACTATAAATTGAAAGCATGTGCTTATTCAACTTATATTAATCATTGTTTGTTTCACAATCATCAATAAGTAAAACTTAACTTTCAAAAGTAATAGTGTATCTCTTATTTATAATGATATTAGCGTCTGTAGCAGAATAGAATGCTGTCAAAGTTTCGAATAGCTCTTACTTGAAAATCGTGAAACAAGAACGAAATAACATTAAGGCAGCCACTTACGTTTATCGGGATAGACTCAGTGACAAATAGTTCTTATAACAAAATTGTAACTTCAAACATCTTAAATATAATATCTAATCAACATCACCATCATCATCATCATAGTCAGCCTATCTAAATAATGTACAGAAATTCAGATAATATGTTTTTGTTTTGTTTTGTATGTGTGTCTGATTTGAACATTTTGCAACATACTAGAAGCAATAAGGCGTTTGTTGGCACCAATCTCTATTCCTCAGGAACAAGATAAAATATACGTATAAATAAAAATAGTTTATTATGATAAGGGTAATATTTACAAAAATACAAAATATAACGCACTGTACAATGATTAACACACTGACTAAATCATAGCCTAAACTCCAAAGCATCATTTCTATGTATATCTGTTTTTTCGAATTCACACGGAACTACCGAGTAACTACTAAATGAGAATAGCTAATCCTGTATCGCGATATGAAGAATTCTCTCGCCGATTAGACAACTTAATACAACTTCCCAACATCAACCATTGGGCCGCGGGCCCGCCACGCATGATCACCTCGCCTGGTCGGAGGATCCTCTCTTTGTGTTGAAGGGACATCAACTAGCTGTACCTAGCTACGCTTCGCTGTGACGGCAAATCCCGGCATGCAATGACTCTTCACTTGCAGGGTCAATGGGCTTTAACATCAGGTGAATGGCTTTATATCATCTAAATTAATATTATTAAGAGATAAAGTTTGCGAGTTTGTATGTACGGTACTACTAATTCGATTTTAAAGATACTTTTACATTTTTAATACGGTTACTGATGTAGAGTATCGAAGTTTTCATGATATATTGATAGAGGAGAAGGTGATAATGTGACCCCCGCAGGTATTATGGCCCACTCGATATTTCTACTGTAGAATCACGTCATCTAGCGCAAAAACTTTGTTATTGTGTTGTATTTAATTGTATAATTCTGGAAATACCGAGTTATTATTACAAGATATTGTGTTCGATTAACGTTTTCCTTTTGGATTTTGAAGGTACGTACACAAAATATTTGATGTTACATATTTTTAGAGGCTGGTTTGTAGATTCCACAGTATTGGTAATTTGGCCCCCCTCATATTGGTTGTATGGGGCCATATTTTTATTTACTTACAGATGCCTCGACAAAGTTTAGTGTCTCCATTTCTTAGAAATAAAAGAGAAACTTGGGATCCTGACCAAATGAAAAAGGCTATTGAAGCAGTGAGAACTAAGACCATGGGCTATAAAAAGGCGGTTAAAAAATTTCCGTACCTAGGTCTACATTAAAACGACTAGTAAAAGACTCTCAAGAATCTTTAGATTTACTCGTGCATAAGCCTCTTGGTAGAAAACCAATACTTCCACCTTTTTTGGAAGAAAATTTAGTTGAATATATTTTATTTATGGAGTCTAGATACTACTATTTACTACAGAGAAATGGCTTCAGAAATGAAGTAGCACCTGGGTGCCATATACATATATTTGATCTCAAATTGACTTTTTTTTTTTATATATTTTAGAATTTTCTGTTGCATTTTATTTGTTCCATATTATGTCGTGTATTGGCAAATAAATAAAAAAAACTAATGATGTATTCATTGCATATGTTTTCCTTTTCTTTTTTACATGAGACTTTAAAAACAAAGTGGGCCACATTACCACCTTCTCCTCTACTGTTTTACAATTTCTATATTACAATGTAAAAACAGTATTCTAAACGGAGAACGATCTTAAAATATCCTGTTTGAGAAAACTAAAATTGACATAGATACATATTTAATTGTTAAAGTTTACCTGTGTTTTAACCTTAATAGACCACCTAGCAACACCATCATTTTTTCCTCCCAAGAACTATCTTAAAATACAGAAACAGATATATGTAGAAACCATGTGTTGGAATCTAGTAAACCTAAAAATAACAAGCAGGATTCATACGTGCGTACCAACACCAGATATAACAAGAAATTGAGTTGCTATGTTAAGATATTAAAAAAAATGTTTAGTTCTACATTAGAACTTAAATAATTAAAGAAAGACTACAAGTTTTTTTAAGGCTCGGGACTTTCTAGCAACTCGCGAACTCGAACTGCTTGAGCTATTAAAAAAAATCCTTTACTACTTCCAGCTGACCTGCTTTACATACTTTTCTTTTTAATACGCTTACAATCCAATTTTAAAAGTGACTTGTTGACTGCAATAGGCTTTTCCCTTATTGGGATAGGTGGGACTAAAATGAGTCGGCCAATTGCAGGCGTTTAACACGCAAAACTAGTCGAATTAAGGGATACAGCATGACAGAATACTATGTCTAAAACTAAAGATGGTCGGTCGACATTATTTTATTTTGACGTTTCATTCTATAGAAGTGCAGATACGTCAATTTTGATTTCGTTTTGCCATAACGTAAGTTTTCTTACAAGACATATTAATAAGACCGCCTATTTTAATACCAAAATGTAGGTGTACATAAATACATCCATAAATAAATAATAACATCACCACACACAGTGACACCACACTACTTAGATGAATCTAACAGTAACGTCAGTGGTACAGATTTTAAGCCACACCCATTTTGGTATATTTTATAGTTACCATTCCTATTCTTGAATAATATTTATTGAAAAATTAGTAGAACATGATCTGACACCCGTTACGACAGTATGAATCAGCTACTCGAATTTCTTAACCCATAAAAAAATGCTCTTGATGCTCTCACAAAACTAAAATCACTTTCTAACTGACTTAATATAATTAAGAAATATATTACAAATGTTTATAATTAATTAAAACATCAATCTTAAATGTTAATTAATACGGTCATTTACGATTTAAACTTCTTAAATACTGTTCAAATGTTACTTTGAGGGCCTATACACACTACCCACTTGTTAGGTACTACATTTACAACACAAGATAAATGAGCAAGACAGACATTTTTTTTAAATAAATCGAGATTTGGAATGAATATCATTTGAATATCAAAAAAATACAACGCAACAAGCAACTTTTGATCTTTTTTTGGGACTAATCCCTCCGACACGCAAGATCAACAACAGTGACCCAAGAACACACCGAGTTATGATACTAGGGAAGTCCTAGGAAAAAATAAACTGTCTTGGAACCCACACGAAATTAATCAGAAGAGGAGGAAGGAGTTGGAAATTTAGGTAGGTATAAATCCAACTTTTGTGAACATTGATTGGAAGCATGAGTTTCGGCGAAGATTTATTCAGTTTTAGGGTAACAAAGGATCCATATATTACACTGATGATGACGAATCATCCTCTTCAACGTCCCTTCTTACGTCCTATTAACTAATCGTTAAACTCAGAAATGTAATATCTACACATAAAAGTAAGACGAATGGGAAAGTAATCAATTTTGTCTCAGTAATCTCTAAAGTACGAAACAAATTAAGCCATATTACAAAAGATATACAGACTGCAAACTTATTTGATGATATTTTTCAATTTCTACATATTAACCTTCAAAATTAATCCTGATTAATATAAAAGGAATCAACCAATTTTTTTCCGAAAACGCACATTTCAACTGCAAGTAACGCATAATATTGTGTCCAGTCGTTTTGTGGATATAGAGTTCCAAACATGTAGCCAGTGTGTGGAGGCCCGTTAAACTGTCACATCACATTGGTTTGAATCATTTTTTAACATCCGATTCTGTGAACAATAAATTAACATCGTCAGTCTATCAAACACAAAATCATATCAAAACTATTTTATTAGGGATTGTTTATATCTTTCTTTAGACCTTTTATACACGAGCGGGAGTTAAAGGCGGAGACGACGGCAACCGTTGACAGCTACAACTGCAAGTTGACCCATACGTGGACCCCTTACGGCAAGTGCTGTTTGTCCATAAGAAATAATATAATAGATAGACTCACAGAAATAATAAACCTCGACCGGAATGATACTAAACAGTCACACAGAAAACCACTGTTAAACAATTATTTAGTAGCTTTTCACAGAGTGAGTTAGGTAAACGGAGCCCCAAACCCTCTTTCCTTCTAATTATGTGAGAGGGAGCTCATAGGGTAGCAACGTAGTTATGACTCTTACTTCCAGGTGTACGATGAACAAAGATTTTCGAAATTAAGTGTCAATTCACACATCTAATGTACGTAGGCTACAATACGTTCTAATCCAGTTTCAAGGCACAGCAAACTTATAAAAAATAATCATTAAATTATAACAAAAATGAATGTACCTGTATGAAAAAAAGACTATAACTGACCTACAAGCCATTTCTTCTGGGTCATAGGAATATTCTACCAGCTACTAGCCAGTTCAATACTCAACCAGGCTCCGGCGAATGTCTATCGTCGTCGTCTGGTGGCATGGGGGGAGCTGGTTCGCCCTGGAGTTGGGACAAGGCACAGCGCACAGCTGACAGGGTTTCAGGAGTGTGTTTGCGGCCACGGGGCGCATGAGGGCGGTGTGGCCGAATCATTCGCTCCACAGTCGCCGTTGATTCTGCTAAAAAATAAAATATTAACATCTAATATTTAATGGTGGTTATAAACAGGTATAGTCTGGTCCAAACGTAAAGAAATTTCAGAACTGTAAGACAATGTTAAATAATTAACTTTTCTCTTCTACCATAAAGTTGAATATTGTTACAGAAATGAATTACAGAAATACTTGTTATTGTGGTACTTCTTATTCAATGAAGACGGTGGCCAACGGACCGACGGACGAACCAACGGTTGGACCAGACTGCTGGTCGGAGGTTCCTTTCTATATGTTGGAGGGACATAACATCAGTTTCATCTCATCATTATTAAGAACTAAAACTAGGAACTTGTCTTTTCTATGAGATTAATAAGATCACATGCAGGAAGGACGTCTATTAGATCAATTAAAAAAAGAATAACGATTTGAGACACCAATCCAAAACTACCTCAGCGATACTTATTTATACCTGTCGATAACTTTTTGCCAAATTCAGTAAATTCCAATACTTATCTACTAACTCTCTATTAAATATTTTTTGTCTAGCCACCCAGTCAGTGTTTTACAACAAAGAGGAATACTTATACCATGCGTGTTACAAATCAGCAGCCTTCACGGAAACAAATATAAATACATAGATAATATTATGACTAAGTAATATGTAGTTGTCTATGGATTACATGACAGTGTACGCCCCGCGAAATGACGAAATCCCATAATCAAGATGTTGCCTGCCTCTGAACGCATACTTCACGTATAGTAATTAAATGTTTTTATTCATGTATCATAGGAAAAACATTTAATAGGTGAGTTCCTCAAAGTAATTAATCAGAGAATGGGTCAATAACACCACAGTCACGACGCACTTCCTGTCTTATCCGCCGTTTTATTGCAATAAACGTAGAATTATCAAGAGCACTAGGGTTCTGTGAAAAAAAAGGTTACTATTTCGATCCAAGCGCATGTCAATGTATTCCTTATGTAACTATCTCCTGGAGAAATGCTATCAGTTTCGTAATTCTAGTATGCCAGTACTTTTAGGAAATAATCAGAGAGAATATTATTAGTTAATTGAGTTCTATAAACAGCTCTTTAAAACTTATATGCACCTCTATACGTATCTAAAATATGCACGCAAAAATCTGAATTCATAATAAGCAAATTAAGAGGAATTGATGGCCACAATTTGAAAAATAACTTTGCAGAACAAGACATTTTCATAATAATAATCCTAAACTAGGAAGAGCCCATCAGATTGCTGTTGAAATACCTATATATTCCTAAATTCACACATAGTATGGATAGAGTACAAATAGATACAGAACTAATAAGCCAGTTATAAATGTAGTGACTCATACAAAGGAACAGAAACATACTACAGCGCCATCTAACGAAGACACACCTGACTATGGAGTAACTACTAAATGAGAATTGCTAATCCTGTATCGCGGTATGAAGAATTCCCTTGCCGATTAGCATATATATACAACTTCCCACCATCAACCGTTGGGCCGCGGCCCGCCAGGCATGATCACCTAGCCCGGTAGGAGGATCCTCCCTTTGTGTTGGAGGAACATGACACCCGTTCCTCCACAATAAATAATAATAAACTACGCAGAGCTACTAATTAAAGCAAAAAGACGTTCTGTTTATAAATGTAAGTTGTAATACATGATGGAAACGCCTAAACGTGTGGAAAGGCAATTCTTCTGTCGATGACTTATAGCGAGTGGAGTAAAAACATAAGACATCTTGACTCACTAACAACAAGAGACAGGTGCCAAGTTTGAGCCCTGGAAGACTTGTCTATGGACTCTTACAAACGTAAAATAAAACTCAATGTTTTCTTTCTTAAAAGAGTGCGCAATACTTGTTAAACCTAAAGTATTAAAAAGACAAGTAAATAGACAGTCAATCACAAGATACTTTGCGTTTTCAAAATCTCCTCAGTGTGCATTTTCTTCTTTGTGTGCGTGTGATCCACAAATTGTTGTTCTTAGTCTGAGTGTTCTTTGTGTCCGTTTCATGTATGTTTGTAAAGTCCCCCGCGACATAGGATATATTCCTAATGCAGGAGTTGTCTTGTAAAAGAAAATACAGGTTCCTCGTACTACTGACCAAGTATGTACTTTGCCGTAAATACATTCCCTAAGTTAAAATCTCGGTAGTATAAACAAAATTATAATTAAAATTCAATAATATGCACTGCAGTAATATTTGCACCACCATCAATACATTTGATCATGATTTACCGTGACGAAGGTTTTACTAATTTATTTAGCTAGCTTATAACCATGAAATCTTTATACCAAAACTGTTAAGATTTGAAAATAGTTTGTTGAATTGCAATCAAGTTGTAGGGGAAACCTCAGTCATCACGCTGCCGATGGAAACCCATACAAGGAAAATGTAACACATGGTAGAATTATAAAAAAAAAACAAAAACAACCTGACTCCATGAAAATGAATGCTAAAATTTACAAAATGGCGATTTTAATTGTTATAATTTTCATATACTTAATTTTACTCTCACAATTAAGACATATCAGACCTTACACCATTTAGACCACAGAACGTGCTAAAAAAACTCACATTCGAAAAGCAGAACCCTCCTCCTCGGGCGCAGTCGCGCAAAAACACTATCACTTGTCCGTTGATCTTATAAAAGTTATTTGTTTTTGTCTATGTAACAGTACTTTTTTATCAGTGAAAGTCTATGATCCTATCTCGTTTACTGTCTCGCAGGAAAATTTTATGCAAAATTTCATAACGATTTTTGAATAATTAACAAACAAACTTATCAAGAAACTTACGATTGACCCTAGGCCGGTCTCTATCAGGTCCAACATTCTCGATTCTTACGCAGCAATTGCAAAAGAAGCATGGGATCCCGGGGACACCACAACACAACGCACCCCACATCCACCGGTTCAGTGTGCTCGCTGTTCTTGACCACCCACTCGGCCGGTCTTGCTGATACCATGAGAGGAAACATTAGAATATTGTTATCGTAAGTGAAATTTTGGTATTTCATAAGATTCGGAGGGGGGGAGGGGGCTTGAAATAACCGGACCATGTGGTTTAAGGTGTCCTCGTAGTGTTAAATTTCCAAACTTGAATGTAATGTAATTGTATCATATTGTTAATAATTATTATTTATTTCAGAAAACTATTTCATAGATATAAAAATCAATCCTAAAACCCTTTGTTTTGTAGTTTAAGGAGCATTCTTCAATGGTGGAGCTGTTCGGTGTTCTACTTTATTGTTGGGCTGTTATTCTCTGTGTGGTGACGGATTAAAAATCTGAGTATCACCTCCCCTATTCATCCCATGGTTGTCGTAATTGCCGGCTAAGAGAGCAAACTACGCGGGACAACAGCATTGCAAAGAGGAGGAAAACTTAACACAAACCTTATACCAAACCATCTAGCCAGTGTATTATAGTAGGCCAAAACCTCCTTTCTAAGGAGAGGCCTGTGTCCAGTAGTGGACTTTTAAAGACTGTTATGGTTTAGGTAGTATAACGTGGGACACAGACAGACGTTACTGTAGCATTCTTCTTGCGAGCAGTTCGGTGAAATTCAAAGACGGGACATTTTAAAAAATCATTACAGTTTTTTTAAATTAAAAATAAACGCTCGTAATATTGCTAATCACCATAATTTTTTTTAAAAGAAGGAAAAAATCAAATTATGACAAATAATTACAGACAAATAGGTAATTTTTGCAATTAAATTTTGTTTTTCATCAAAAACAAATACCTAACTCATTTCTACATATATATAAGTATCCGTTTGTAATACCTAATCTTATTAATTTGCTGATTCGTTAAACAATCAATTTCATGTCATAGTTCAGTTCAGTCATGGTTCTTCCTATAAAATTATTATTAGTAAAATAAGAAGCAATTAGCAATTTTTACATTTATTCCATTAAAAATCAAAACTTTTGTAATTGGATTAGTAGCTTTTCGTGCACAGACCATAAAGAAAAAAAAATCTATCTAGCTAATCAGGACTGTATGCACTCAGTGATAATTAAACCTTTTTACAATGTTTAGCTTTAACTCCAAGCTATTAAATTGTGGCTTTTATTTGCACATCATATAAAAATACAACTACATAGCTGTCACATTTTTAAACGGTTTGTAATATATAACTTTGATTTCAAATGTAACTGAACTTTTCGAGTCCTATGGTCATGTTTGGATGGAAGCTATTTAATTTCAAAATATGGTTTTTATTGGCACATCAAATACAACTACAAAACTCTGTCGAATTTTTCAACGGTTAGCAATACGGAAATATGATTTCAATTATAACTTTTCAGGAGTCCTATGGCCATGTTTGGGTGGAGTCATACATGATAAAATGTGTGATTACCTCATGATTGTACACGAAGTCCCGGTTCATCACAACTTCATCGTTGAGCTTCGAGATTTGACAATGTCAAAGTGACTTACCAAATCTATAGGGCTTTTGCTTTTTATTTATAGGTATTTTGTGTCACTTTGTATTTTTTGTTTATGGTTTATTAAGGTTTATATATATAAAAATGACCCAAAAATAAAATATTTTAGACCATAAAGGGAAAACGAACGTCTATATTAATTTTTATCATCGCATCTATATTATTTGTATGCATGCATGATGCTCATGTATGCAAGGAGTTAAGGTTCAATAAGGTAATAATAATAATAATAAATTCACACATCTCACACACGGCAGTCTGGTCCTAAACTAAACAGAGCCTGTTTTATGTTAACCAACCTGCTGATAAACACACTTATATGGTTTTAAATATATACATATTATTGACAAATTACACCCAGACAGAACAAATGACCGTGCTCATCACACAATATTTGTGATGGGTGGGAATTGAAGCCACAACCTCCTGCTTAGCAGTCAGGGTCACGAAACACTAGACTAACAGGCCCGTCGGCAGGTGAATCATGAATATCTTACACAAAAAAAGGTTTATTTCTATCCTACCTTAGAAGTAATAGATGAATACTCGTAGATAATTAAAAGTAGCCACCGAAATGTTTAATTTCTACTTGCCTCTGACTCCCTCCTTAGATGTCATCCATGAGCCAAGGAAATACCTGGAAAATAAATGAGTGGAGAAACGCAACCATTCTTTGTTTTTAGTTCAATTTCTCTAGTAATAGATAATTTAAATCACAGGTATTTTTTATAAAAAAAGGGGCAAACGAGCTGACGGGACATCAGCCCATAGACATCTTAAAAATCACAAGTTGTCGCCTTTTGAGTATCCTCCCTCACCCTCAGAATCAGTGGGGGTAGGATACACGGTTAAAAGCAACGGAACAATTTTATTGTAAGCAGGCCCATTTACGCCAAAACATAGTTCTCCTACGATCAAACTATAGGATTATCAAAACTATCTATACATACTCTAACAGGTTTGATTTCGATACTCCCATTAAAAGTGGGATAAAAGTGACCTTCAAATATTTTTTAAATACATGTTTTGTTCTAAATAATTGAAGATGCGTACAAAATATTTGTATTCCAGTTTGATCCTGTATTCAGATCGATATGTTGAGTAAATTATGCAGTTCAGTAAAATCAAACTCAATTTAGCAGTGGTGTACCGCAAAGCCTGAGATAATCAAAGGCTAGTATGAAAATAGTCTACGAACAGAATGCCCCACAGTACCCCTCCATGCTCTAGTTTCAGGCAAATTTAAAAAAAGAACAACTATGTTGTCAATAGTGTTAAAGTTCATTTTTAATAGAGCTTGTTCCTTGCAAAAAATAATCGTAATGATCAAAAATCCCCAGAATCAAAACCTCAGATTACATCACAACATAATAAAAAAATAACTCCCAAACAATCAAACCAAAAGACAATGAAACAAAATACTTAGCATATAAATAATACGCGGTGCTACTTTAAGGTATTATCATCTCAATTATCATCGTGACAGCCATGAGGAAGTAATGTAAAAAAATGCCATCAAACTCTAACTCAATGACAAATATTCCTCGACTTCAAAACATGGTAAAAAAAACTAAACAAAAACATTTTAATGAATAACCTGCACATAATTAATATGATATTCCTTTACCTTCGAAATTAATTACCGTGGAGCATTCGTGGCTCACGGAGACGAACCTACTTCAGACGGGAACTATGATAGAGTGAATCTATAGTTACGTCATACCATAAAATCATGAAGCCTTGGTCCTAACGACAATGTGCAGTAGGTTGATGATAGAGTATTCATTAAAACTAGACGTGAATCTATGATTAAAGCTTCGGGTTCTGTATATACTTATGTTACTATATCTTTTATATGGATCACATAGCCTTCCAGATTAGCAAGCTGAAGTGGCAGTGTGCTGGCCATATTAGTCGCAGAACCGACAACCTTTAGGGAAATGGAGTTCTTGAGACGAGACCGCGTTTTGGCAAACGTAGTAGGTGGAGTGAAGATTTGCACAAGATGGCTGGCAGAAGCTGGATGCGAGAAGCCCAAAATCGATCTAAGTAGCGTGCACTGGGAGAGACCTATGTCCAGCAGTGGACTGCGATAGGCTGATGATGATAATGATGGATCACAGGACGTACTCTTTTCAGTTTTTTTTTATTAAGTCAGTCTGAAACCATGCTTTAGTAATGGGCCGGTCTGATCGAAGTACCATCGCCTAAAACAAAGCATCTTTAAGCGATTGAATAGAATATATTTTATTTTGCAAATATGGATAATACATGATAGGTGTTACAGTACATTAAAGCTCAGCCATATTTTACCAGTGGCGTGAAAACATTAGGCTAAGTAAACATGCTTTTTATATTCAAATCGACTGACGAATACAACACAAACTATACAATAGACATTGAGATAATACATCGATAATCATAGCAGTTAAATTAAAAAGAATCCGACAAAAATTCTGTTACGCTGTCGGAAGTTTTATCTACTAGAAATTAACGTAGTCTACTCTTAAACATAACTGTTCCCCTTTCCATCCGGATTCTTTTGATGTATTTTATAAAGTCAGTGAGGTAAACGAAGATCCCAAAATCCCCCTAATGCCCCAATTATAGTATGCCCCACTTGTGACGCTTAAGTAACAATAGTTCATGGGCGTCGGTAGTTACTTACCATCAGGTGACCGTCTAGTGACGTCTGGTATTGAGCGTAGGCATGGGATAAAATCACAACCACCTGTGACGTCTACAACATCACTGAGACTTGTTACTATTATTACGCTAGCGCCAGACTCGCAAAAGGTCTAAATCTAAAAAAAAAAGGCGGTCTGATTGATTTTGATGGCATTTATCTTTGTCTATTACCAAATCTAAGTAGTGATTTATCACAGGTGAAATCACAGTCGCCAAAACCAATCATTTCATCAAATGATTATTATGATTTAAAAGTAGCAATAATTTCCTTGTCTAGTGTATACAGTTATATGGAAGAATAAGGAATCGATAAAGAAACGGTAACGAGTTACCATCAGCCCCATCAGGTCACCATCTCTCTTGCGTTATTTTCTCTATATGACGACGACACAATAAGTCTCACTGTGAGGTCAGAAACGTCACTCCAAGATTTAAAAATGAATACAGAGAAACTGACATGAAAAAAAACTCTGCCATGATTTTTTCTAGAAGCTTCTGTTTAAACTTCATCAAGAACAACGTAAAAGTATTTTATATCAGCTCGTACTATCTGCCTCGTATTGTCAACGCCTGTGTACTTAAGCGAATACGAAGATACGAAAATTCGGCTAGTTTGCTCTCTCAATGGAACAAACTATAACACTTACTAAACACTTCTAACGCAAAGACCAGATCAGAAGTTAATATTGAAATTGTTTTTTTTTTTGTATTTATATCATAAAAATGTAATCTAATATCTTGAGATTTTTATTTTTAAACTTACTTACGAAATGTATGGGCCTTCGTATTTTTGTTAAGTTTTGTTATAGCAATTACAGTATGATATTTAACTAAACATTTAGGATATAAAACATTCTCAATCACTCCCGTTACTTGTCCCTCGTCATGACAAAGAAAGTTAACAAACTAGAAGCTATAGGAATAATAAAAACTATCGTCACGAACCGAACAGCGACAGAAAGAAATGTTCATTGTTAAAATAAACATGTTTACGATCCAAATATTTATTTAATCGTGTATGATATAAAGTTCATTTCGGAACAACAAGATACTTAAATCAATGTGTCTTGTAATTTCCATTGACTTCAAGAATAAAAGAATCGTAATTATTTGGTTTTCGACTGCCAAGATATTGTATATTCCATAATCAAACGTCGGTTTCATAACTTCTTAACTTATAAGTTTTAGACTACAAGGATATTTTCTTAAAGGCTTTCCGCATCTTGCGCTTAAGAACCCTGAAAGAGATGATCATCACAGTATCGTAATATTGAATCATTAGGCCGTGGTTGCTTGTATAGCTCACACGCGCAATTCAAACCTCTTCATAATTAGATAAAACTCATCTAAACATGAATTTGCGCCTTCATATCTTTTTTGGACAATTTCTTTGGTTGGTGGCAGTTTTAAATGGGAAGTCAATACAAGGGATCCCTGGATTTGGAAGAAACTTGCTGATCAAAACGCTGCCGGAGATACCAGACTATCAGAGTAGTGTATATGAAGTGTTTATGGAACCCTATTTATATGTGAGTACTGTTTATACATAATATTTAGTAACAGACTCGTTAATGAGGCCTTTGTAGTGTGTGACAGATCAGGAAAGGATAAAAAATAAAACTGCTTCTGTCAATGATTTTCTATAATACAACTTGCGGCCATTTATAATCACAGAACATATATACCCCTTTTATAATTATTAGTGTCGCATGTTCAACATGGGGTAATATGTGCGTTCATTATTATTAAATCCTTTAAACTACTTAATTAATTAATTTGACTGGCCTTTTGGCCTAGTTGTTGGTGACCCTGACTGCTAAGCCACCGATTCGATTCCCACGCAGGACAAATTATTGTGTGATGAGCACGATCCTTTGTTCTGTGTCTGGGTGTAATTTATGTATAAAATGTATGTATTTAGAAAATATATTAATATGTTTATCGGTTACCATAGGAAAGGCTCTACTTAATTTGGGATAAGACTGCCGTATATGAGAAGTTTTAATGTTGTTGTTATAAAAAAGAAATATTTATTTTTTTAAGGGAAGAAATCTTTAAAAAAAAATTGTACTAACGTTTTTCATTCCTTTTAATAAAGAGTATCTACTGTAAGTTTGAAAACGCTATACTACCTATAATAACAAGGTTAATATAAACTTTTAACCCTCATTTTGCACCCTTAAGGGTGAAATATTTTAAAATCCTTTCTTAGTGCACACCTACGTCACCTAAAGAACATTGGTGCAAAATTTTCATGTTTCTAGACCTAGCGGTTTATGTCCGTTGATCGATTAGTCAGTGAATTATTCTGTCAGTTTCTTTTTTTATAGACATAGATAAAGGGTCACTGATATATAATTTAATTATATTATATTAAAAAATTTATAAAAAAAAACAATCAATATATTTACGAATACAATATTTTTTCTGTACTTTTTTCATCATTTGAGTTTGTTTTTTTGTATCTTTAAGAGATAGGGTATCTCTCTTAGTGTTTTATTAATTATTATAATAATACGAGTAATATTCTTCCACATTCACGCGTACTGGAGAACTGACAACAATACATATATACTTTTTTTGTAAACACATACATGTAACACAGAAATTAATTGATTTCATTAATTGTAAAATTAAACGTCTTAAGTTAATGTTAGTCAAATACAAACCAGTTCGTGTTTTTACCTTTTTCAGCCTCGTAAGCCTATAAATCAAATGTTGTTATTAAAAAAAATACTAATTCGGCAATTTGCTTAATAAGTTAAGGAATGATGGTAAAGTCATGATACTTTCCCGACAAATACCACCACTATATATTATTAATTTAGTGAAGTCTTTGTCTCTTCGTTTTTTTATAGGCGTTACGTTTATATTTATTTATTTATCTCTTTATTGTACACCACTGCGGTATTATTTGTACAGATATTATATAAATTTAGGTAAAACAAAAAGCGATCTCATCGCTCACGGCGATCTCTTACAGACAACCTTTATACGGATATTGTCAAATTTAAATTAGGGTAGCCTGCGATGTACAATAGTACATAGCAGGCTACCCTAATTTAAATTTTGTAAATTTTAAATTGTAATAACAATATATTAAAAATAATGAATAGTTAAATAAGTATAAGGTTACTACATAGGTTTACAGTATACATACAGCTAATACGCTTAAATACACAAATTCCTCTACGATGTCAAATTATGTTTTGTGACAATTTTTTTTAGATATTTGTAATGATTTAGCTTGCCTAATCGCCTCAGGTAGGTTATTTTACAGTCGAACTGCTTGCACTGAGAACGACTCGTCAGTGAATTGTGTGGGTGTGCCTGGCCATTTTTAACTGCAGATTTTCTGGAGTTTAGTAGAAGTTAAGAAAGTTTTATCACATGTTCAACACTATCACACGTAATTTTGTGATACGGAAAATGATTTGTGTTATGTATGGGTTTAATTTTTCTACTATGTGTGTATACTTAGAAATATTTAAGTATGTTTATCAGCAGTTTAGTTATCATAGTACTCTAGACTCTGCGAAAGGAGAATGACCAGTTCAGTGTAAAAACCAGTTTTACACTTTTTTTGCTGTGTCAAATATGTATAAACTGAATTATTAAGCCTGCGTTGAGTGTTATCGGAATTATTAACGTTTATTGTAACAGAACTTGAGGTTATTAAGGTATTAAATGAGAAAATATTAGTATCAGTAGTATCTATATTGCACCCGCCATTAGATCCTAGCGATCTAATGGCGGGTGCAATGTAGATACTACTGATACTAATATTTAAGTATGTTTATCAGCAGTTTAGTTATCATAAAACAGACTCTGCGAAAGGAGAATTACCATTTCAGTGTGAAAACCAGTTTTACACTTTTTTTGCTGTGTCAAATATGTATAAACCTGCGTTGAGTGTTATCTGAAATATTAACGTTTATTGTAACAGAACTTGAGGTTATTAAGGTATTAAATGTGAAAATATTAGTATCAGTAGTATCTACATTGCACCCGCCATTAGATCGCTAGTAAAATCATATTTGATTAAACGCGACAGTTTAAACGTTAACAATAATTTATGTTAAATGGTAATCAGTCCGAAAAAGTATGATTAATAATATAAAATAATATCACACTGATAACATACTAATTAAAAACACCTAAGTGTTTGGAATTCCTAAATATCTTTCGCGTTATATCTACCATGTATAGAACAATTACATTCCCAAGGAGCATTAGTGACAGGCAGGCGGTGGACCATAAAAGCAATGCCAAAACTATTTCAATGGAAGAAGAAAACTCATAGGAAGATGATGAAAATGATATTCGTATTTCATATGTCCCCCTACTCATCCCGTGGGTGTCGTAATAGCCGACTAAGGGAGTTAAACTACGCAGGACAACAACCCTGCAAAGAGAAGGAAAACTTGACACAAAACCTATACCAACCTGTCTGGTCATCGTGGTATAGTAGGCCAAAGCCTCCTTTCTAAGGAGAGGCATATGTCCAGCAGTGGACTAGTAAAGGCTGTTTATGATTATGATGTCCTGTTACAATTGTCCACATCGTTTCCACGCCAACGTTTGGATGATATAATGCCAATCAAAGTTTGGCCATATGATTTATATGAGGACTTAATAATCTATATGTTTAAAAATGTTATATCGGTTTGTGTACGCTTCAAAAACTAAGAAAGTGCCGCACCGATTGAGCTCAAACTTTATCATGATATAGAAACCGCTTCAAAGATTGTTTTCTTATCTATTTTTGACGTCACTTTTTCATAGTTTGCCACAGCAAAGCGTGCCATGGTAAAGCTGGTGTAAGGTATAGGCTTTAAGAAAAAAAATACACAAGAAACTCACATATTGCTTTATTAAATTATTACAACGACATTTCACTGCATTTGTATTTGCTTTTATATTTTAATATAATATTTGCTTTTAAACGATACTAATTTTAAACAAAATTGTCGTTTACCGCTATGGAGCAATAACATAAACCAAGCGATTTTCTGACTTCTAACTTTCGATTATTTAACTATTTTACGATACGATTTATTAAATTTTCGTACATATTTTTAATGTAGAGATCAATTTTAAGATCTAGCCACGACATATACTTACACATTTATGCACCAATGCCAGTAATAAATGTTTTTTAGTTCTTAATTTCATTCATACAATGTTATGTTATTATATGTTATTAGACATGCGTTAAATGTTTATGACTCAATACGTACGATAACAAATCTCAAAAAATGAAATCATTTTCTGTGAGTAGTACCTACTAACAATTGTGATGTTTTATTTCATTACGATTACATATCGTAATGAAATAAAACATTACAATGTTTAATGATTACAAGAACACCGACGATTAAGGTAAGGTATGCATTTGTATGAATACGTAAAATTTATTAAGTATATATTTTTGCTTCCGGATTACCAAAAATAGAATAACATTAATCGAAGAAAGTTCAAATTTGACATTTGACTGACAGTTGCATTGTTAAATAAAAACATTGATTTATATTTTTAAATATGTATCCGGGAAGGACAGTGGGCTTGCCACCCTAACTACATGAATGGGGTTGGAATTAAAGTTGTTTACACAACTTTAATTCCAAGACGTGTCGTGTGTGTGTGTATTAAAAAATTAAAAAACACTCCCGACCTATAAACCACTATGAATATTTTTATTAGCTGGTAATCTGCGAACAACTAAACAGATTTCCTTGTATAACAGCTAATAGTACCTACTCGTAAATCTACTTAAAGGTGAAAGTCAAACTTTCTCACAAAACTATCTTTCAAATAAAACTAATTCAAAATTGGTCTGTTCGTTTAAGACCTACATACATTTGCAAAGACCTTACACAGACACAAAAAAAACACGCGTTACTTTTATAACACGTCTCCATTGTATATCAGAAGTTGAAAAATAGAAATTCAAGACTTATTGCTCGAGCAAGCAATTAAATGAGCTGCACCAATTCGTTTATGAAAAAGAGGAAGTTCTTAATTCGTCGCCATTTTTTATGACTCGTCTTCGAATAATCGGGTAATACTTGAAAATGGCTGACTTTTTTTTTGTTTCAAAGGGAGTCTGTCCAGATGATCCTATTTTTATCAGATGGAAGTCAAATGATGAGATCCTAACATAGAGAAACCGACTGAACTCTTAAAAAAACTAATTATTATATATCCATGACGACCGGATGGCGTAGTGGTTTGTGTAACGGACTGCTATTCCAAAGGTCGCGGGGGCTCGATTGCCGCCCAAGTCAAACATTTGTGTGCATGAACATTTAATGTTTGATTTGCCCTGGGTATTTCATGTAAAACATCCAAAAAAAGTATAAATGTATTTATATCAGTTGTCTAGTAGCCATAGAACAAGCTCTGCTTCGTTTGGGACTAGATGGCATTGTGTGAATGTGGTAAATTATTATTATCAATAGCGTTTTAGGTTTCTGTGTAGGATACGTAGTAAATATATTATTATGCTGTCGAAAGTCAAAAATGGAGTTGTGATTAAAAATACAAGTTATTATAAATAATTTATCATGAGTTTGTCCCTTGAAGTAGGTTCATCATCAGCCTATCGCAGTCCACTGCTGGACATAGGCCTCTCCCATTGCACGCCACTTAGATCGATTTTGGGCTTCTCGCATTCAGCTCCTGCCAGCCATCTTGCGCAAATCGTCACTCCACCTGGAATGTGGGCGTCCTACACTACGTTTGGCGAGAAACGGTCTCCAGTCAAAAACTTTTCCTCAACGGTTGTCGGTTATATATAATATGGCCAGCCCACTGCCACTTCAGCTTGCTAATCTGGAAGGCTATGTCGGTGACCTATTTCTCTGCCGAATCACCTCATTCCTGATGCGATCGCTTAGAGAAACACCGAGCATAGCCCTTTCCATAGAACATTGACCGACTTAGAACTTGTGGACCAGACGTACCGTAAGTGTCCACGTTTCGGCTCCGTATGTCATCGCGGGTAGGATGCGCTCATTGAAGACTTTCGTCTTAAGGCACTGTTGGCTCGACGATAAAAAGACTCAACGTAGCTTCCCAAACGCTGCCCAACCCAATTAAGTTCTTTTGTCCACCTCGTCCTCCGAAGAAAAATACCGTCAGATGTGTATGCACCAGCAATGTATCGTTAACTTAGCTACTTATTACTAAACGACAAGTATACATAATGAACAATAGAAATTCAATTTCATTTTCATGACAAAAAGTAAATTAACTATGTACAGCATTTAGTAATATGTTCAATTTAAATAGTCAATATTGATTTTTTGTTGACCGACGACGTTTTGTATCCACTGTTTTTTCTGAACATAGTTTAGTAATGTACACAATTCTTATTTATTTTATCTTTACAATTGAATTGTTTTCTAATATCTGTGATTGTTCACGAATTCTTAATCGACTTGTGCGACTGAATAACCGCAGAATTCTGCTACCTTTGCAAGGTCTTCAACAAATGAAGTGGGCACCGTATAAGGTAGGTACTAGAAGGTGTTTTGATACGTAACTGTAATACTAATATTCAAATCAAAAACAAAACACGCACTCTTAAAACAAATTAAATTTATAACTACGAATATTCAAATTAAAAAAAAACACACTCGCTTAAAACAAATTAAATTAAAATATGAAAACGACGATTTATTTCTGTATTCAAAATCATAAAATTAACTGATACTTCTTGTAGCGTGCAGCTATAAAAGACAAATATTGTATATACAGTTGCGTGTTGCGAGTTTTACCAACACGCCACCGAGCCATATAGGAAAAAACTGAAAATGATTACATGAAAAATACTGTCGATTGATTTCGACAAGAAAAAGATAAAAAAACGACAATGTATTTGGTTAATTTGCCACAAGATTATAAATAGGTAAATATACAGTAAAAACATGCAATGTGTTACGATCAAAGACCGAAAATATTCTGACTTTTCTTCATCGCCACAATACGTTGTGGTCGTATAACATGATAGCCACAATTAGAATTTCAATATATGTGGTCTTTCTGTGATCGTGTCTAAGTAGTAACCGTGTAGGTTAGCAATGCAAAATTAAACAACGTAAGCAGTAACGACGCGTAAGTCTTGCTGATGGTCGCTTAGTTCGTGTGGCACCCACTTATCTATCTTTTTAATATTTCCGATTAAACGCAAGCTCAGCCGTAGATTGAGTTGGATCCGCTTCCACTACCGCCTTCAATTCGTCGTTGTCGTCGTTCTTTATCTCAAAATTTCCTGGGCCGCAATTCTGCTATTACGCCAAGCCAGTGTCATACCACTGACACGCTATTGAGATGCCATCGAGTGGCCATTGGCATAGGTATAAATATCGGTAGTTGAAAATATATTACGTTTTTTGAGGAAATGATTTATTTGTTTATAATAAATTATTAAAAGAAATAAATTAATTAAAATAACTTATTAAAAAAATAAAATTTAAAAAACGAAATAAATTAATTAAAATAACTTATTAAAAAAATAAAATTTAAAAAACGAAATAAATTAATTAAAATAAATTATTAAAGAATAAAATATAAAAATTATAAAAAAAGAAATAAATAAATTATTAAAATAAATAAATAAATTATTAAAAACATGAAATTATTAAAAAAAGATAAATAATATTTATCAAAATAAAAAAATATTTAAATTAATAAGTCATTTCCTAAAGTCATTTCCACAGTAAATTATTAAAAAAATAAAATTATAAAAAAAAAGAATAAAAAAAATATGAAATAAAAAAATTGAAATTAAAAACAATTTAAATAAACAAATCATTTCCTTATAATTTGAAAATATATTTATTTTAATATTATTTTTATTTTTTTGTTAATAATTTATTTAATTCTTTTTTTTATAATTTTATATTTTAGTTTTTCATAACTTATTTTAATTAATTTATTTATTTTAATAATTTATTATAATAAAAATAAATAAATCATTTCCTCAAAAAACGTAATACATTTTCAAATAATAAGGAAATCATTTATTAATTTTAATATTTTTTTTATTTTTTTTATTTTAATAATTTATTTATTTCTTTTAATAATTTATTATAATAAAAATAAAATAAAATCATTTCATCAAAAAACGTAATATATTTTTAACTACCGATATTTATACCGATGCCAATGGCCACTCGATGGCATCTCAATAGCGTGTCAGTGGTATGACACTGGCTTGGCGTAATAGCAGAATTGAGGCCCTGATCTAAAACAATTGAAGCAATAATACATTATTGCTTCAATTGTTAGACACGGTACACCGTGTATTATTAATCAGGCAGGTATGCCACGTGTATACGTCCATATCGCATGTGGGTCGGGACTGCGAAGAATGTCGAAGGGAGGTTACATGCGGCGTTCTACAGGGATCGGTCTTAGGACCCCTTCTGTGGAACCTCGCGTATACAGGATTGAGTGTTGTCTGCTACGGACGATACTCTGTAACTGGCTGGGGGGGGTATGGCTTTTAGGAGGTCCTGGAACTCACAGCGGTCGGGGTCTATGGGTTGCACGTCATAAGACGGAAGCCTTGTGTTTCCACAGGAAACGCAGAGGTGCAGTTCCCACTCGCTTGCTTATTAGAGTGGGTAAAACTGAGGTCGAAGTTGGCCGGCATATTAAATACCTCGACCTCACCCTGGACAGCCGCTGGAGCTTCGAGGATTATTTCGAGCTGATGATCCCCCGAGTTCGTGGGGTGGCGGGCTTCCTACAGAGGCTGTTACCTAATCTAGGAGGTCTAGCGGGATAGGATCGTTTGAGGTTACCGCACCATTTCGTCGGAGGCGGCGACAGTCCTGGCACGTTAGGTACAGAACTAATTATGGTTGTGGATATTTTAGTGGCAGCAACGCGTTGAAGCTGTTCTTTCACTCAATGAGCGTTTTCGTTCTCGTTCGTTTGGTTCGATTCCCACCCAGGACAAATAATTGTGTGCTGTATTTAGCTAATAAGTAATCATAAACTTGTTTAAATGATATTTAGTTTCAAATAAGCATCTAATATCTAAACTATTTTTTTTTAACTAACCTCATTAGTTACATTGTTTTCTGTTATACGTACATCCGTAATAGGTACCTAAATTGTTGTGTTGTGTTGTGTGTATTTTTAGGTGTCGACTAATAATAGTAAATTGTTTACATAGAGTAGTTTCAAAGGTTAACTATTAGGAACCATTATTTTTCGTTTAGGTATCAGTTTCTTGCCAGTTTTTTTTTCAAAAAAGGTTTTGATATCCTACACAAACTTTCCGCCGGATTTTTAATTGCCCTCGGGAAAAGAAGAAGAAAGGATTCAGCAACAAAGAGGGTTTTACATAATTATTTGTACAGGTTCCCTTTAGGTTGCCTGTGACTCTCTGACCATCTTGGTCGAACGTCAGACATTTTAAACGTCAAAGATCAAAATTACATAATACTTACTGAACGTGTGCATTCTCATACATTTACATACATTTGACTGGATGGCTTAGTGGTTTGTGTACCGGACTGCTATTCTAAAGGTCGCGTGTTCGATTCAAACCCCTCAAGTCAAACATTTGTGTGCAATGAACATTTAATGTTTGATCGGGGTGTTTCTATGTATAATATGTGTGTATTTACAAAAAAATAGTATATATGTATTTATATTAGATGTCTAGTACCTATAGTACAAACTCTGCTTAGTTTGGGACTAGATGGCGTTGTGTGAATGTGGTAGAATATTATTATATAATAATGTATCATGGAGCGCGAAACACCAAAAATTGGTAAGGAATTACTTAATTCATCATTATTTTCCTGCTGTTTCTATTTTTTTTTTGAGCTCGGCGCAATGTAGCATAGCGAAAAGTTTTGACAGGCCGCTTGCCTGATATCAAAACTCAATGGAAATGAAATCGTTTCAAAAGGGACAAAGGAAGTCGTCATGTTAGGCTAAGGAAAACGGATAGGTCTAAGAAGCTAGGGTAAGGATTATTGCAAATGTACGTCGAGTGTTGCGGGTTCAAACCCCACATGGGACGACACTTTGTTGTTCTGAGTCTGGGTGTTTTTTGTGTCCGTTTCATATATGTTTGTGAATCCGGGCGGGCGTTGTCTTTAAACAAAGAAGATAAATGCTTCTGCTACGTAGTTCCTTGTCAAACTTAACTAAATCAGTAATTTTTTCTCTCGTTCCAGGACTACGGGCAACATCAGGCGCTACCCATCGGAAATCGCGCTGAGAAGCTCATAGAATATGTAAGTTAATGCTACATTACTTCCTATAATTAAACTTCGGCCCACTCGATAGTATTGACCATAGAAACCTTCAGGCAAAAATTTAAACTTCTATCCCCATCGTAATTGGTACTACACTGTGAACTTTTCAAGCCACCATTTGTCTGAAACAAAAAATCTGTAGAATAAATTGTAGTGGGCGCTATTTCTAGCCCTCTATCTTTTTGTAAAATCGCTTCGAGATCACCCATGCCTTTATTTTCTTGGACCATTATTTCGAAGTGTCTATACATTACTGTACTATGTATTACAATACCTGTTTTTCGGACATAAAAAGAGGCTTTTTATTACAAAAACTTATAAAACCAATTATTTTGAATGTTAGAGTAAAACTGCATAAATATGACTAGTCAAGTCAAGATTCAGATAGAGATTTCATAAAAAAATTACTCGATAAAGTTAAAAAATTATCTACATTAAAAGCAAAAGCAGTTAACATTTTAAAATTTATACGATCAGAACTCACGAAGAACGCAAAAACGATTTTTTTTAAATGGATTTAAAAAAAATGTTTTTTTTTCTCAAAAACAACTGTTATAGGAAAAGATTTAAATACCAAAATTAAGGTCTATTTATATCCTATTTACAAAAAAATAACCAAGTCCATTATCGCGTGATGTTTAGAAACTTCAGCCCATTTTAGTTACAACCGGATATTTTCTCACTAATTAATTTATTTTTCATTGACGTTTCTGGAACGTTACCTAAACACGCTGTTGGACCCACAACTACATTAAAGTTCATAGTATTTAACTTTTATTTAACTTGCAATATTTGATAATAAGTTTATTTATCTTGGCATTTGAATTAGAATCACTTTTATCCTACACAGTTGAAGTTCATTACAAGATCTGATGTAGGGTTTGAGACTAGCTAAATTATAGTTACACTAGCTGTTGTCTGCAGCTCCGCCAACAGGATACAGTTTTTGTTCTATTTACAATTTTCTGTACAATTTTCTCAACCTTCTAGAAGTATTAGATAACTTTCAAAGTAAAACCGGTCAGGTACCGTTCCGAACCTACCCATATTTTACGTAAATTTTGTAAACTCGAAAATTTGTAAGTACCAATTATACTTATTGTATTTACCAAAATTTATCTTAATTTACAACTTTTAGTTTTTGGAATTATACCTTTATGTGTGCTTTTGGTACTTACAAGTTTTCGCGGTGATATGCGCGCAAGTGATATGCGCGGAGCAATGAAAATAACAAAACTTTTTTTTTACTTACCATAACATAGTAGCAAATAAATTGACACTAATAAGTGTGAACCTCCTTTCTAAGGAGAGGCTTATGTCCAGCAGTGGACTATTAAAGGCTGTTGATGAAGTGTGAAAAACCCCGAACCTTGGCTCGTTAATTTGGAACTAAAGCTTTTGAGACAAGTAACAAAATTGAATATCTTACGACTCCTTTTTTTTAACGATTAAAACACCAGTAAAGAGGATTATCAAGTACTAATTCGAAGTTCGGAACCCACGTCTAACTAACGTGAGGGAATGTAGCGGCTAATTACAAGATTTTCTCGTTTATACGTTATCTTAACAATGTTAATGACGGATCAATGAAGAAAAAACTAAATAATTCAGTTTTAATTTAGGAATGCCTGAAGACAACGATAAGTTGTCTTTGGTATTTAAAAACTTCGTTCTGTGAATTGATTTTTAAAGATCGATTTCGGCCGGATTAATCGATTTGACACGTACAGATTATATTATATTATTGTGATTATTATACTTATTTGATTTTTTATTTCTACTTACGTATTTCTACCTTCATTTGATTTTGCTTTTAACGTTTTCTCGTATCTCTCATCCCAAGATTCGCTGGGAGAAAGCTCAGATTTAAGTGAAGCGCTTTTTTTATGTTAGAAGGGGCAGACAAGCGGTCATCTGATGGAAAGTGACCATCGTCGCTTCTTTATACCTTTATAACATTTCATTATTTCTTTGAACTACTTACATAAATTATTGAAAAAAAACCTGACTGCTCGAAAATGTACGGGTAAGTACCCACCTAAAATTTACTAACCATTTTAATTTTTACAATTAAGCCTCTCGGTGTCACTCTCACAATTAGGCCTCCTTCTGGCTCAGTTGTATAATGATAAATGAATGGATATGGAAATCAACAACACCATAAAATAATTTGAACAATTCGCAAACCCTTATAGAATTTGAATTAACTCTAATAGGGTAGGGTCGCAGTTCACGGTCCTTTCAACCTCCTCATTTGTTAAAATTACACAGTTACGCATATTAAACAGTTGTTTGAACACGTTCAACGTGACTAACTTGACGCCGCGGCGGTAGTGCGTTGTGACGTCATCGTAATGGCGGATCAATTAAAAGCTTAATATAAACATATGGGATCGTGATCCCACAGCGTTCAAGCACTTCCAACCGTAATAATCGAAGTCGTCACCTTTTTGTTAATCATCAGACGGGTTTCGTTCAATTTCATTTAAGATAACAAGAAATGACGTCACGCCTCATCGATTATAATTTATAACCGAATAACAACCTTTAAATAACCCGTAAATAATATAGACAATAGTTTTCAGAGCTTTTAAAAAGTATTATATTGCCCACAGAGTTACCGAATTGGTAGAAACAAATATTATAGAGTCATCAAATTGTCTAATATTATCATAGGGTTGACAACTGTTATAATTGTAATATACACCCGGATTAAAGACATAACATGCAAGAATAATTAAGTCTCGCAATTCGCAGCGCAGTTCTTCTACAGCAACAAGTTTTGATATATAATCTTTACTTACTTTTTCAACTAACAACATTTTGTAAATGATCGTGTAATTACCTAACACCTTTATTTTTTTCATAAAATAAATATGATCCTCAAAATATTGATGATCAGTGACTTTCAAGACAAGACGAAGAAGAACCAGAGAATAAATAAATTTAAATAAGGAAGATCTCAATTCAGTTGTATCTACTCAGTATTGTTTGTTTTTTGCAATAAAACGAATAATTATTATAGTGTGTTTATTTTCATTCATCAATCATTGCCGTAATAAGCCTGTCTTTTAAAGTAACTACCGTGTTGAAGATAGTTAATGTTTTTTAAGCTCTTCTTCACACGTTTATAAAATGAATAATTGTGTATTTAAATGTGAATTGTCGCTTTTTAAAGACAAACGGAAGAGACAAACGGCTTTATAATGCATAGGTTTTTTTTTTAAATTGAACAAAGACAACACACCTAAACCGTCATCTCACAAATAGGTGAGAGGACATCTTGTTTTAAAGAATGGGTTTTGTTGGTTATACTAGATGTGATGTCCCTAGAAGTCCCATTAATCTCATTTTATCAAAATATAAAATTATCGATTTTCCCTTTTACTACGGTGATTTATTTCCATAGACGAACCCTAATCTTTTCATTCATTTGGGGCCTATGTACATTTTTGCCACTGTATATAAATGCAAATAGCCAGTGACTTAATTCAATATGTCTAGTAAGTTTCACCAAGTGCCATCAGTTATATGTATAAATACAATACATTTTAATAGTTGTTCTGCTGTACGGGACGGTTCCTCTGTGGACAAATCCAAACATTCAAACATCATAAAATCGGTCCAGCCGTTCTTGAGTTACAAAAGGAGTAACTAAACCGTATTTGTTTTGTTTATTAAGAGATATGCGTATCTGGTGGCCTGAGATTACCGTGGAAGGCTGTACTCTTTGATCATTGAGCTTGCCGTACCGGCACACCGTTTGCCGAAATACACATTAAACCACTGTTATATTAGTTTATTTATTATATGATAGTTTATTTGTTATAATAGTTTAAAGCACTAATGTAATAGTTTATAACAGTGGTATGGTGGTTAAAATGTATTGTATTCATTTGTATTTATACATATGACTGATGGAAACTTGCTAGACATACTGAATTAAGTCACCTTGTACTGTTCACCAATATTGTGACTTATATGTTTTGTAAATTCATGAAACAATTGTTATGAAGAAAATTCATTTTTCATACAATGTGTATGAAACGTAACACGAAGAGTGTAAGTTTATTTCATATTAATCCTGTTGCGATTGATGAAGATTTCAATCAATCAATCGCAACGCCAAACAGCTATCGAAGCTGTGACGTAGATTGCAGGTGAAACTGTGTGGAACTATTAGTCTTTCATAAATACAAGTTATGTTGTCTATAATTATATACGCTATGGCCTACTGACATGGAATAATTGTTCTTACCATTCGAAGGGCACCATTAAATTAGACGTGACACCTATTAGACACACGCAATACAACACTGCTTATTACCTACTTCTTATGGTGTCTTACTGTACAGGGATTTTGCTTCGCTAGATATTAAATGTTTTTACCGACATAAAAAAGAAGGTTATCAATTTTAGTCTGCTGGAGAGCCATGCTTTGGCACAACATGGCCTGGCCCGGAGTCATAGCACGGCCTCATAGAAAAGATATTTCCTTGTTTTTCACCGAATGAGTAAGGTTACAGGAGCCCAAACCCGGTACGGCACGGGTACGGTGAATCAAAGGGCGGGTACGCAGTTGGGAGTTGCAGGTGTCCATGGGTGGCGTTAATCACTGATCATCAGGTACCACCTCCCTGTACCATAAAAAAAGGAAAAAAAAGTGTGGTGTGGTTTTACGAAACCACGATGCAAGTTAAACTTTTTTTCAGATCGTAGGCATTTGAAAATGAACTGAAAATTATTCGAAATGTCAATCTGGTACGGAATACATAATAAATACAATCATTCAGATGATGGACGCATGTTAAAAACTGAGCACAATACTTATTTATATCATTCAATCATTTTGAACTTCAATTATGCAACACGGTCAGCTGATGCGGGCGCCGCCATATTGGCTTGGCTGTTATGCGACATGCGATAAATGGACTAAAAATTAGAGCCGATTTTATAAAAATTTTAATCTTCTTGTTCCTCAGCTGCCCGGTACAATATTGCCGTTTGGTGGAGGACTCCAAAGTGCCCACCCGCAGGCTACTATTCCAGGTCTCCGAGCAGTAGTCCACCTACAACCCGATGAAGAATCTGGAGTAGTGGGTGATTTGGTATTTACACAGCTAATGCCTAATGGCCCAGTGACTATTGAGGGTAACGTGACGGGGCTGACCCCAGGACTCCATGGGATTCATGTACACCAGGCTGGAGATATCAAAGAAAATTGCAAAGATATTGGAGAGCATTTTATTGCATTTTATGTAGGTATTCTTTAATATTATGTAAGCATTTCTTTTATGATAAGTTTTTAAACAATTAGAGCAAATAGGCGATTGATTTATCTTACAAATCAAAACACACTTAAAAAGTGATAATTCCTTTACTTAAGACAGTTTTATAGTTCTACTAGCTGACCCGCGCAACTTCGTCTGCGTCTCTCAATAGTAATAAATTTTCTCCGTTTTTGAAACATTCTTCATTGGTGCTCCGCTCCTTTTGGTCTTAGCGTGATGATATATAGCCTATAGCCTTCCTCGATAAATGGGCTATCTAACACTGAAAGAATTTTTCAAATCGGACTAGTAGTTCCTGAGATTAGCGCGTTCAAACTTCCTAAGGGAGTTCCTTTCCATGGTATACCTGGTTCCCCGGTTATTAGTACCCGAGACGGCGTGCGGTTTTAGTCGGTTCGAGTCCGACATGCCACCGACAGGTGGTATCCGAGTGGATTTCCGCACGGGAAAAAAAAAAAGGCATTTTAAACATGCCTTGACTTAATAATAATAACAATAATTTGACACACCTCACAGACCCGTGCCTTGAAGATTCTGATTCTGATTCCTCGGAGAGCACGTTATGCCGAAGGTCACGGTTGCTATACGAACTTTTGTGGCAATCGTTAAGGGTAGTTAAAAAGTCTGACAAGTCTTTCTAATTACTTCCCTATTATAATTTTGAGATTTTTGTAAAAATTAAAATACCTATCAATAATCAAGTAGAACACTACTAAACTGCGGATCCCTTCAGTTGTATCCTTATGATTGATTGTTGCCTATATATTACCTACTAGCTGAGACCCGCGGTGTTACCCGCGTTTGTTGTTATAACCGCGGGCAACGCCGCGGGGCGAAGCTAGTCTAAAAAAAGTAGCCTAACTTACTCCTTATGTCATCAGCTATCTGCCAGTGAAAGTCCCGTCGAAATCGGTCCAGCCGTTCCAGAGATTACCCGGAACAAACAGACAGACAGACAGACAGACAAAAATTGTAAAAAATGTTATTTTGGCATATGTACCGTGTAAACATACATATGCATTTAGTAAAAAGCTTTAATTTTAATATTACAAACAGACACTCCAATTTTATTTATTTGTATAGATACCATAGATAAAATGATAATTAGAACACAATAACTGTGTAAGAACTGCACTACACACTACGCATATGTTTACAGTACTTTTTACTTATCTGAAAAAGGAAAACTATTCATCAAAACTGAACATGTAACCAATCGCTTATCAAATTTAATTATCTTAATTATGAAATTTCCTGTCCTCAGGGTCGTCACGGTGGTCCACGCGACCCAGTTCGACATGTCGGCGACCTTGGCAACATAAAAGCGGAGGAAGGCACACTCGTGGTCAAAATTGTCGACCATCTTATTTCACTCACAGGCCCTCGGTCGATAGTCGGTCGATCTTTAGGCATATCTAAAGGGGAAGATGACTATGGGAGGGCCAGCACTGAGGAAAGTGGGTTAACAGGCACTTCAGGGCCCACAATTGCTTGCGGAATCATCGGGTATTTGAATTAACGGTTAATAAATGAAACGATATCGAATATTTTTGTGATTATGTATAGTATATTTATATGGTAACATTGTGTTTTATTTGTGATAACTTTTTTTTAAATGGTTATAGAAAAGTCTTCTGTTTTAACAACAAAAGTCTCCATCACGCGGTCTTCTCAGAAGTGTCACTGTTTAAGTTATTTATTCGGGGAACGACAGGTTGCTTCTTTTGCTAGCGTAGGAAGCTTGCTAACGCCGAAATACTAAATTTAAAAACGTGAACATTTTTAACCGACTGCATAAAACAATGAGGATCCCATTTCAATTTTTTTTTGAACTCCATTAATTAATAACCGATTTCGAAATTTGATTTTTTATTTGGAAGCGTATACTTCCCTTTCCTCATTTAGGAAATAAATTATTGAGGTATTAAGAACGCGGTTAATTACCATTCGTCAGGACGTAAATTGAAATCGTTGATATTTTTTCAAAGTTAATTTTGAAATTCAAAGTCATTTGAACTCACGACACGCATTATTTAGATTTGTAAATGTATGAAAACTAATGACCAATAAATTTAAAATACTTTTAAAGCTTTATCGAATTAGGTACATCGAAGAGTTCTTGGGTTTAAAAAACTATGATGGTGACCTTCGCCAATCAAAATCTTAATTGTGATTCAAGTTTAATATACAAACAATATAGGTATTTCGTTTGATCGTGGCTCAATCACGATTACGATTAGCATGAACTGAGTTACAAAAACTGTAGGCGTGTTAGCGAACCAGCAGAACTAAATACCATTATACAAATTTAATTAGTTACGCATCTTTGACCCGTCTACGCTACAGCGGTATGTATGTTAATATTGGTATGAGTAATCGATTATTTGAAATTATAAAATTTTCTTATGACTTAAAGCTTTTTGTGTGAGATACGCTAACTTAAGTTGGTTTATTTATGATATCCATGCAATAATAATAATAATACTATTCTACCACATTCACACAACGCCATCTAGTCCCAAACTAAGCAGAACTTGTACTATAGCTACTAGACAACTGATAAAAATACATATATACTGTTTCTTTTAAATACATATCTACATATTATACATATAAACACCCAGACCAAATCAAACATTAAAAGTTCATGCACACAAATGTTTGACTTGAGCGGGAATGGAACCCGCGACCTTCAGAATAGCAGTCCGTTACACAAACCACTACACCATCCGGTCCTCTAAATGTAGCATAATTGTTTGTTAGAATTAATTTGTTAGAAATTGTTTGTTAGAGCCTTTTGCAGAATTATGTAGGTACTACTACTACTAGCAACCTCCTTAGCTTCACACATGTACCAGGCTATGTCTACACTATTTTTCCTATCATAGTTATTAGATCATAAGAGAAATAGTTTCCTAACACATTATTTTTAGACATTTCTTTGATTTATACGGCAAAAGCAGATAAAGTTTCTACTTGGCATGATTTTTTCGAAGTTTCTACCTACTTAACCATTATGACTTATACTATCTATTTGTGAGAACAGTTCGCACAAATAGACAGTATGACTATAAAAATCTATTCGATACTTTTGGAGTTTACCGCGTTCAGAGACAGACAATCGTCCAAAAAATATTTTGTCAAAATCAACACTTTACAGAATCACATTGTAACATCGCACACGTTCTACGAGTACAATGCTGTAACATATTTTTCCGAATAGATAATCCTGCGCTGATGAGCCTTGCCTTGAGAAGATAAAAGGCATAAAACTCAAACTTTAAGCTTCAAGATAGAAACATTGCAACTACAAATGATCAGGCGTTATAATACAATTTGAAAGGAAGTCTGGTAGAAGTTAATTAAATGTTACAATTGTTTAACCAGCTCGTGATGATCTTGTGTAGGTATAACAACCGTGATGAAGTAATGCGTGTAATAAAGTCTAAGAAGATCCAAGAACCTGCCCTTTCCCTACCCTGTCATCAAGAGTTAGTATGTGCATTTCGTGCAGTTTATCAGTCACACCATTAAAATTAAACACCTCTAATCCAAATAGTCTAGTCCTATCCAAATCCTCTAGTCCAAATAATTTCTCGGAGAACTCTCCATGATATATACGATAGAGAAGTGAAGCTACATCTCTACGTAACGCCAGGAGAATAAAGTATTTTATGAAAATCATAAGTAACTCAGTAACGCGACTCAGTCAGACCAAGTGACCAGCTCGAACACTCTCCAATTTAAAAAAAAATCTACTACTACCTAACTGCCCTTCATATCCACCTTTTCAATTCATCTGTGTTTTTTTTTCTTTTCAAAATACTCATTTTCTCATCTAATCATTAAAGTACCTAATCCCATCTGATGACTAGTCACTAACTTGTTGACATCAATATAGGCTTACTAAAATTTTAACAGTTCAGTAAAAGGTTTATAAGTGATAAATGTTTGCGTGGAATTTCGTAAAAATACGTTTAATATGCCTCTGCCTACTACCTTGTAGACGTAAGTGGATGTATTTATAATTCTATTATTTATTTTAATTAATAATATTTGCTCATGAAACAAAATAATTACTCTACACACTAGAGAAAAGTAACCTAATTAAAAACATACACAGACTTAATTAATTTTGATTTGAAAAATGTTTTATAGCAATATTTTTAGATGAAGAACGCGCGTAGTCAATAAATCGTGTTTATTGCCGCGAATAGCCATAACTATTTAGATGTTCTATACACATGAACTCCATCATGAATATTATACGGAGTGTCGCCACTCCTATGTATCCCGTGGGTATCGTAAGAGCCGACTAAGGGAGCAAACTACGAGCGACAACAGCACTAAAAAGAGAACGAAAACTAGATACAAACCCTTTTTTTTACGTGTGGAAACGTGGAAACCCCCTCGGGCTGTTACCGAACCGGGGTTTGCGGCGGGGTGGTGTGTCGGAGTCGGACCGACTAAAACCACACGGTGTGCCACTCTGCGCCTGTAATAGGAGAGATTCGGGAACTGCTACTATTAAGATATCCAGACCCCACCTAGCGCTTGCCGCAATGGCGCGAGCACCACCTTCGGGTACATTCTCCATTTAGGCGACGTCCGAAACTAGATACAAACCCTATACCAACCTGTCTAGCCAGCGTGGTATAGTAGACCAAAACCACTTTTCCAAGGAGAAGTCTAAGTCCAGCAGTGGAATATCAAAGGCTGTTGATGATGACATATTGTAATATTTTTTATCATAATAATTAGGTAGTAACGTAATGAATACGGCGTAGGGTTTGTAATCAAGTTGTTGCGAATTCGAACTCCACCCAGTGCACATTGAAATCAGTGGATCACTGTAGATGGGCACGTAGCTATATGCATGTATTAGGAGTGTCTAATACAAGTATATAGCTTAGCTGGAGTGCGTAACAAGAATACTACTAGTGTGTGACCCACGTCTCTGCTACGCTACTGTTACCATGGTTACTGCTACGCTGTTAAGGTGTGATAGCGTGGTGTTAGACTTTATTAATCACTAGCCACACCGTCAGCGTGTATGTGTATGTGTGTAAAAAGTAGCCTATGTTACTCGTTGATAATGTAGCTTTCCATTGGTGAAAGAATTTTTAAACTTGATTTAGTGTTTTAGGCGTGAAAGCATTAACAAACTTACTTTTACATCTATACTCAATACAAAAAAAAACTAAAGTGTCAGTAATGTCAAAATAATAGGTATTTTTCATGCTCACACGGTTATTTACACGATACCTATGCCTAAAAAAAAGTCTGTCTTTCTTAAAAAGTGCATTTCTGTCTGTCTGTTTGTTCCGGGTAATCTTCAAAACGGCTGGACCGATTTTGATAATATTTCACTACCAAGTAGCTGTCTATATAATGAGTAACTTGCTCAGAAAAACCCTATAAAATTTTGCCTGGTCCGGGAATCGAACTCACTAAGGCAGCGCTTTACAAATTCGACGCGAACGAAGTCGCAGGCACCAGCTAGTTTATAATATAAGTATGGAAGTATGGGATTCTTAGAAAGTATCTCAAAATGAGGCAACGCACTTGAGATCCTTGGTTGGAGAACATCAGGTGACCCGTCAGTTCGTTTGCCTTTTATGTCATAAAAATAAAAAATAAAACTAGAAAGATAAGGTGTACTTAAAGTAAACAAATTAATTTCTGTAACCAACTGATATAATTAAAAGATAAAAAACAGTTTTTAACAAAACCCATAAAAATGACAAAACACACCATATAAAATACACTGAGGAAATAAACTCTTAAACTTAAATTATGTGATGTTACAGTTAGTACCTAATTGTTCCTATTAATAGATAGAAGACGGGCGGCCATCTTGGATTGCTTATGACAGTTTAGCTTTTTTTTGAAATGGCGGTATTTTATTCACATATTATGCGTTCATTTCTCGTCTATATTATACACATACACATTGAATAATTCACAAAACTTTTGCTTCTTAACAAACTCCTTGATGGTCTCAGTGATATTGTGATGGTAAGCTCCTTTTTATTCCTTTGTAGTTTCTAAGATTGCATGTGTTAATAAACCTAGCTGATAACAGGGTTTTTTTTTGTCATTCAGAATTAAACTTGAGACCTTGAAGTATATATAATGTCGACGTCAATCAACGGAACGGAACGGAATCGGAAGATAGAAGCAAGCTTTAGTTCTTTCTACCTACCCAGAAAAAAGTAGCATGTGTGCAAAATAACGCCTCGAAAAATTCGTGTCCGTTAGAAACATTCAATTTTACATTATCCTATCTATTTTATTAATAAATGCTAAGTGTTCAGTCGTTTACTGAAGCCCGATAGAAGCGATTAGGCTCTCCACCTTGGCGATGTAGGCCTTCTGCGCGTCTTCCTTTGACAAGCCCTTGTGTTTGCTCCACGCCTCGAATTTCGCCTTGCCCCTCAGGTCGAAGAAACCGGGCGCTTCTGGAAAAAAAGAGATATCTTATAAATAATGATTCTTGTACGAATTCATTATCTTGTATAAAGAACAATAATTTCTTATTGGGAAAAATAATTGTGTGCCGAGCAACGATCATTTGTCGTATCTGGGTGTAATTTATCTATAATAAGCATTTAGAAATATTTAAGTATGTTTATCAGTAGTTTAATTCCAAAGTACAGGCTTAGTTTGAAATCAGACTACCGTGTGTGAGATGTGTGAAGTTATTTTTATTATCTCAATGTTTTAAATAATACATTGCCTAAAATTGTTACTGTTTTACCCTATTTCATAGGTTGTACTGTAATAGCTCTACGACCACATTTGTTACACATATTGGCCTATAGCATATCAAGAACATAAATAATATAATAAAAAAAAAAAAAAAAATATTCTACTTTGTAATCATAAGCCTTCGAAAGCATAATACTTTGAAAGCATAATCTTCTTAATTTCATATTATCTTGTGGCTATCTTAAGATAATGTCAAATATATTAATTAGCATAGCTCACTGCTTACTATCTACAATACTATCAATACTATCTACAATATTTATAACCTATATATGTGAGAATTACATAATGACATTAAATAAACTTCGACTTAGTAAGTCACTCACATATATTTCGATTAGGGTTTTAAGTGGGTCCAAATTTCTCTTCGGGCAGTGACCATTAATAAATTTAAGTGTAATCTGGTGTCAGAAGTGCTTTTAGCTGATTTTGCCAGGTTAAAATTACTTCACTGTTGACTGACTGTAACATACACACTGATGCCTTATCCTCGTTCGGGGTAGATGTAAACGATAGAACGGATGGCGGAGTGGTTTATGTAACGGACTGCTATTCCAAAGGTCGCGGGTTCGATTCCTGCTCAAGTCAAACATTTGTGTGCAATGAACATTTAATGTTTGATTTGGTCTGGGTGTTTCTATGTATAATATGTATGTAGTTACAAAAAAGAAAGTATATATATTTATATCAGTTGTCTAATACCCATAGTACAAGTTAAATTAAGTTTGGGACTAGATGGCGTTATGTGAATGTGGTAGAATATTATTATTTACAACTAGCTGACCTACGGCCTGACACGCAGCTCACGCCTCTTCTATATTCATCAGGTCCTTCATTCATGCTCGTCGGCTACGTGTAGCTACGAAGCCCTTCTTCAGGACACTACCGATCTGATCAATACCTATATGTCTTTCGGGGCTGACCGCACCGTCTCGCTCTCACAGGGTCTGATAAACTCTATTAGTTTTTCGCTCTTCGCTTATCCTTTCAACATGTCCCAACAATTGAGTATAACAACATTCTTCCAATCAAATTCAATACATTCCATTCAATTAAACAGCTTGAGTTTAAAAAAGGAATTAGGTCATCATAGAACGATAGGACAATGTTATGTAAAACAAACATAGTTATTAAAGTGACTATGCGATGATGTCATTGAAATCTTATATCGTCTTCAGAGATATCTTGTATGACTGACCTATTAAAATGCACAATGGAAAACTTAGACAACCTAACACAGTTGAGAACAATATCCTATTAGAAAACTAAAAACTAACCGCCTAAAACTACACACTGTAACATGTCAGTCACTCGGGTATTTCCTAGGAAAAGGTTCCTGAACTACACCATTTGCTGAGGGCCTTTCGGTTTAGAGAGGCGCACAGGGAACTAAAATAGGGTAGGGTATACCTGGTTCCCCGGCTATTAGTACCTGAGACGGCGTGCGGTTTTAGTCGGTTCGAGTCCGACATGCCACCGATAGGTGGTATCCGAGGGGATTTCCGCACGGAAAAAAAAGGGAACTAAAATAGGGTGTCACAAAAAACAATAATAACAATATCAGAAGGCTGGTCTTTTTCTAGCACAGAGAATTAGAATTGCCATTCAACGTGGCAATGCTGCCAGTCTTCTGGGAACGCTACCAGTAGGCGATGATGCGGAGGAATTTTTTGATGCTTGTATGTAGATAGTGTAAATGTTGTGAATATTCTAACTTAATTTTCTTTAATTTTAATTCTTAATTTCATTTTTATTTTTGTACTAGATACTAGAATTTCCTCCCTTATTTTTCTCTTTCTTGCACCTTTAATTAGCTTTAAAAATTGTTGTTGTTATATTTAAGTGATCTTATTATAGATAGTTCAACTTAGTTGTGCGACAACTTTCATTCGTGTGGTATTCGTCTTGCTCGGACGACGGCTGCCGCGTCACTGCCACACGAATGAAAGTTGTATATTTACAAGCCCACGCACACATAGGGCCGCGCGCACAACTGAGTTGAACTATCTATATCATTGTTATTATGTAAAAGAGTTTCATTAAAATAGTGTAGGGAGTATTAGGTGAGCTTTATTACGTCACATAGTTACTAATATCGTGATATATCCAAAAATGCAAGCGCTGTATTAATAAATACAAAGAGCTAATTTCTTTATAACTTTTTGTTTGCAGAAAATGATTTAAAACTATTTTTATGAATTGTACATGTAAACTAGAGGGGGTCACGTAGTACGAGTTCGTTCTCTAAAATAATTAAGCAACTGCCATGTGAAGATGTGTAAGGTGAACTAAGTAACGTTGATCCTAATGATGAAGTACATATAATGAAGATCGATCAATTCTTTCTTTTTTTTTTTTAAAAGACAACTCTCGCATTACGAATATATCCTGTGTCGCGGGGTACTTTACAAACATACATGAAATGGACACAGAGAACACCCAGACTCAGAACAATAATTTGTGGATTACACAAAGTGTAGTTCCATGTGGGGATCGGGGTGAGCGGGGTGGCGACCGCTTAAACCACTACGCCATCCGTGCAGTCGAACAATAACAAGATAGTGACGAGGTGAAGATTATAGAATCCAAATTATACCTACCGATAACCACAATCTTAAGTAATCAGTGTAAATATTATATTTATATCAAAAGTGTTGCAATCCTTTAGTTAAAGAAATTATTTGAACTGAATAACTAAACGCTTATTAGGTATATTCAAGTTTTGTTTCAAGTACCTTATAAATATAAAACATATGACAATAGCAAACGATGTCTGATTGGTTTTACAAGTTTATACATAACCTAAAGTATTGATTGTTAAAACAAAAATATGCTTTAATAGTAAGCCGAATCAAATAGGATCAAAGAATCCCACCTCCTGTCTTCATCGTCAAACCATTGTTCTTAGCAAAACCCTAACTTGGTCAAAAACGATTCATATGAGCCCAAACTCTAAGGGGGCATCAGCAGCCATTGAATAATTCGGCTATCTAAATCCTGGGTCCATCATCAGACCAGTTCCAAAATGCTCAATAATACAAATCTCATCCAAGCCATTCATAAATAACGGAGTTCTAAGGTAACAAACACAAAATTGTGGCAAAATAGAAGATATTTTGACATGACAATATACAACGGTATTGTACAGCGAAAAGCGGGTAGGTATGTCAATTTATTTTCTTTCTTTTATAAATCTACCTAGAAGTGAGATACTTAATAGGTGAAGCCTAATAAACATTAAAATAATAATAAAAACGGTTACTTAACTGCTAAGATATTCAAATCGCAAAAAAGAATGGAAAACCTAATTAGAAAATTTATTCAGTATACAGTACAGTTTATTCTCTGATTTTGTATATTTAGCGTTTTTATAATATTCTACCAGATAAAGTAAATACCGTTTCATTTTGTCGCAAAATAACAGTAGCTGCAGCTTTGCGTGAAACTTTCTACATTATCTTATAACTGGTTTGAACTGTTTATCTTAAAAATGGAATGCAGGTAACGGTAAACGGATAAAACTGCAATTTTGTGTGTCCGTGCCCCGGAGAGCACGTTTAGCCGTCGGTCCCAGTTGCCATACGAAGATCTGTGGCAATCGTTACAGAATTTTGATATCGCCTCGTAATTGGGGACAGTCGCTTCATGTAAAAAAATCGAAGTTGAGCCGTATCGTGTACAACTTAGTTTGGAGAAAAGGCTCAGAGGAAAGAATTTTGTGTGTTAAGAGAGTTGTAATACCTGATATGGGAGTTAAACTCGTATGATATGTATGGTTATTTTCTGATATGTAACATCTTTTAAACTGTGAGTGAAAAAGGACGGAAATAAAAAGTCAAAATCTAAAGACAATTGCAGTAAATTTTAAAACGCATTTAAAACCCAAACAATTTCATCAACAGCCTTTAAGAGTCTACTGCTGGACATAGGCCTCTTCTTAGACAGGAGGTTTTAACAAACAATTTATTAAGCTGAAAGAAAGTATCTTAAGAAAGGACTGTTTAATAAGGTAGACATTCTATCATCGATGAAGAGTAGTGCGATACGTGCTAACATATCAAGAAATCTATATTCAAATACTCGTATTTGGCGCATTTAGGGGTAATGAGTATGTTATTAAAAGGGGTGGGGTGGAAACTTGTGAAAGCCACATATTATATGACATGACGTGACTTTTATATCTAGATTTTATCACCGGCTCTTGCATGTACTGCTTTCTTTTTTTAATGTCGCGTGCGAACGCTGACATGTACGATAACAAGTATAACACGCTTTAGTTACTATTGTCCAATACTTTTAAAAAGAGAGTTGATGTTTTTGAAAGTACATTAAACCGTCCTCCGAGCCTTTTTAGCAAACTACGTTGGGGTCGGCTTTAAGTCTACTCCAATACGGCTTAACTTCGATTTTTAACGCGAAGTGCCATAAGGATTGCCATTTTTTTATAAATATACTGACAAGACCGCCTATTATGCCTCTATCTCCATAAATTTCTGTAAAGTAAATGTCAATCCCTCTAATTTATAAATTGCTTTAATAGCCGTCTGCTGCAGTACGGATATACTTAGGTTAAACCGTTATGGCGGTGGAAAACAATACCACAATATAGTAATTTAGTTTTTTTAAACCGTTTTGTGCAGTCGTCACTCTGCCTGGCTGCAAGGTGTACCGCGTGGTGTACGTTACACAT